CAAGATCTTATTACAGAGCCCACAGCTCAAACTCTCGGAGATTTCAGACCATCTAACTGGTGGAGATGTGGAATGTTTAAGTTCAGCAGGCACTACCAGACAGCCACACTGTGGCTTAATTCAGGTGCTCAGCTGTATGAATAGGGCTGCCTGGAGCCTAGCTGCTCTAGCCAGCAAGCAAGACGCTAGAAACAGGCTACACAAAAGTCTTCTTAAATTCTTGGGTCCTGACTGCCCATAGAGTCATAGGCATGTCTCGAGTTTTGCTGGATCATATGTGACTATCCTTGGAAAGACAAACAGGAGGCAGACTTGGGCTCAGCAGTGTTTTCAACTCAAGATTAGAAATTCTCCCCTTGCCTGTCATTTGGGCTAAAGGACTGGTCTCGATTTTCCTACCACAATACTATATACCCCAGGAATAGACAGTAAGATCAGAGACTTGCCAGGTGGTGGTGGCGCACACCTTTAATCCCTGTATTTGGGACATAGAGGTAGGCAGATTTCTGTGAGTTCAAGGTCAGCCTGGTCTACAGAGGAGTTCCAGGACAGCCAAGGCTACACAGAGAAACCCTGTCTCGGAAAAACAAACTAAAACAAACAGACAAACAAAAAACCAAACCAAAACAAAAAGAGCAGCGGCCAACTTGTCGATTTTGTAGCAATGATAGGAAAGGGCCTTCAAAGCACACCACTCCAGAAAAGTATGTCCGAAGCAGACAGTGCTCACACAATATTGGGCAGAGAGTTTGGTGCTGAAAACTGAATCTGTAGGAGGCTGGCCTGGATCCACACCTTTTCGGAGGCACTTCCAGGCCAGGGAGGTTAGTCCAGGCCAAAGCCCTCAGGAGAGCTGGGAAGAGTGAGCCCAAAGCTGAAAGTAGATCTCGGACAGAGCCTGGCCTAAAGGGACCCTGTTGGGGGGCGGGGGCACAGGCATCGAGAATCCAAATACGCCTTTCAGAGCCATGCCTCCATGTGTATCTCTGTCATCCACTCGGTGGAGACTGTAAATGCCGGAAGGAGGCCATGCACACAAACAAGGCGCTCTGGCCCTACCCCTGACATCATCTCTGCCTGGCAAAATTCACACCTTTAAGCAATTATGACATTCCCTAAGGAATATAAAAATCCTTACGGGATTTTGCAATGATATATATGAAGTGAAATTATTAGCAGTAAATTATTGATAACTAACTGAATTATTTTCTTTCTTTGGTTCATTAGAGAAACACGTTTACCCTTGTTACTTTTAAAGCATTTCCACATTTCCTTTTGTTACTGTCTCTCCTCCCTTTCTTGTCTATGCTGATGTCTTCCACACCTACATGTCGTGTGAATAATTTGGAATCTGCTGTGCTATTTGGCCACAGACAGTGTCTCTGGCCTTTCTGGTGTTAGGCTTGTGAGTAATCATCTACTAGATAAACATGAGCAATAGAAAAGAATATTCTAGACAGTTCCTGAAGACAGACCGGTAACTGCTGGGACTCTTGGTTCAGTCACCTCACATATTTTCTTTGTCAGAGGGAACCAGCTTACAAAGGTGTATTGGAGCCAAAGTATCTTGAAGTAATGGCTGTCATTGAACACATGCAGGAGAAGCTTGTGTAAGTATGAAGTATCGTGATGGTAAGAGGAAAAAGACTGTGGGCCAGAAGCTTGGCTGAGCAATCCACACTTCTTAGCTTACCCTTGTCCGGCTGGTTTTGGTCTCACTAGCGGGATGATCAACTGAAAAATCTTGGGCTAGAGGCAGTGAGCTACACTGCTGTGGTAAGAAAGTCCTTCCTCAACCCACAGTGGAGATGGGAGCTGGTGCGGATATTTGCAGTGTGTACATTTGTCAGGAAAGGGATGAGGATGATCCAAGTCAGTGAGTGTATTTTTGGGAGATGACTTAAGGAAAAGAATGGGACCGGGAGAAAGTGCTGTGCTTAAGAAAGAATGTTACCCAGCCCAGAGTTGAAAAGATAACACAGTTAAGATGTCTGATGACACTGAGAGGAATCTGTCATACATATATAATACATGTCATACATATATGTTATATATATATATCCGACATTTAATGTTTTGTTACATATATTTACTTTGTGTGCATGTATGTATGTGTGTGTGTGTGTATGTGTGTGTGTGTGTGTATGTGTATGTTTGTGTGTGTGTGTGTGGGTTTGTGTCTGTGTGACTGTGTTGCATGTGGAGGTCAAAGAACAGCTTCTAGAAGTCCGTTCTTTCCTTCTGTCAGGTGGGTTCAGGGGATTGAACTCAGGTCGTCAGGCTCGGCAGTACTTTTACTCACCCAGTCCTCTCACCAGTCCTGACGTGACCTCTCATAATATAAAATCATATTCAAACTGGCTTTCTGGATTGTAAATTCTGCCTTTAGAGTGTTAGAAAAGAAGGGACATTATGGGTCTTGTTGAGCTCTATTGGTTATGTGAATCTAAAATGAACTACTGATGAGGATTCTCTGGCTATTGATGGGGAATTCACATATACCAAGTCAGGTCTCATTAAGAAATGAGATCTACATTGTATTCTTAAGTGACAGCGAAACTTTAGCTGTCTGTCACGTGCTGTAGCTCTCCAGCCCTCGAGGCTCTGTCCGTCACGGAAGCCCCGTTCCTATGTTGGCACCCGTTAGCCAGGCTCGTCTTCTCCCACGGCGCTTTTCACAGGAGTTTCTGTATGAAGGAAGGATACATTCTCACTCCTCTCCATTCTGTTGTGTTTCCCTGGACTTCGTCCACATCAGACAGATTGACCTCAGAGCCAGAGAGGCGGAGGAGAAGTTTGATGATGCAAACGAGAAACTTCATCACACCCTCATAAGAAACAGAGATCTAGAGAAGGAATTAGAAGAAATGTCCAAGAAAATCAGGAAGGATTCACGAGTAAGAATAGAAAGCCCCAAGGAGGAGGAAGAGGAGGAAGAGGAAGAAGAATCTGAACAAAAGGAAGGGAGCCAAGAAGGAGAGGAACACAAACATGGGAAAAAATCCCCAAAACACTCAAAGAAAGGTGAGACCTACTTTCACATTTTTATCAAGAAAACGTGATTGCACCACAAAAATTTTCAAAGAGCATGAGTAGTTTACATTTATTCATTTACTGTGGGGAAGCTGCACATACACACAATACATGTGTTTGCACCCGACCTTGTGTGCACATGCACACACACAGACACAATACATGTGTGCACCCCACCATGTGTGCATGTGCACACAACACACACACGTGTGTGTGCATCTCACCATGTGCACACAACACACACACACACATGTGTGTGCATCTCACCATGTGCACACAACATACACACAAAATAATAAAGTTTAAAAAATAAATGGAGAGTGACAGAGGATGACACCTGATATCAACCTCTGGCCTCCACAAGCATGGGTGACTCCTCCCCCGTGCATGTGCCACACAAACATGTATATGCCACTCACACATGCATGCGCCCCACACATACACATACACTGCACATACGTGCATACACCACACACACACACACACACACACACACACAAAGAAGTAGCAATAGAGTTTTATAAATATACTTGTGGGGAAATCTGTAAACTTTGGTAGTACACATAGCCATTCCTTTAAAGCTCGCCTTTACTTCTATCTAATGATTTCACTGTGGTGTGTGTCTGTGCCCCAGATACTCAGGAGGCTGAGCCTAGAGCATTGCTTTGATAGCATGAATTTGACACCAATCTGGGCAAAAGCAAGACACCATCTTAAAAATAAATAACTATGGCTGGCAAGATGGCTCAGTGTCTACAGACACTTAGGCACAAGACTGATGACCCAGTTTCAGTCCCTAGAACCTAAGGTAGAGAGAGAGAACAGACTCTACAATACTGTCTTCTCACTTCTACATACACTCCATAGCACATACGACCCCCCAATACACACCACACACACACACACACACACACACACA